GTTTGTATTTTGTAATTTGTTGGTCCACCTTGTTGTTCATATTTTTGGCTGGTTGGTTTATTTGATGATTGTTACAGGGTGATGGGGCTGATGATGATGATACAAGTGACAAGGATGTGTGGAGTGGAGGGGTAGAAGCTGAGTTAAGAAATGAAGATGGTCAGCCTGAGCTGATGGAAAGCCCTGTTTATGGGGTAACGCACACGTCCAATGGGCATGTCCAGATTGGAGGGCTAGGTGCTGAGAGGACGATGGTTGAAGATAAGTATGCAGAGATGGAAGCAGTTTCCAAGAATGAGGATGGTTGGAATGAGTTGGGAGGAAGTGTTTTTGAGGCGACAATGGATACTGGCCATGAGGAGCAGATTGGCAGGGTAGAAGGTTTGATGTTTGAAGATGACTGCCTCGTGGTAGTAGCTGATGAGTTTGAGAGTGAAGATTGTCAAGGTGAGGTGCAGAAATCATTGTCGTCCTCAACCTTTCAGCACTCTCTTTCCTGGCCTTTGGATGACAGGATAACCTTAGAGTGGGTTCAGGGAATGATGTCTGCTCTTGAGCAGTCACCCGTGGATTTTCAATCTGTTCTGTCAGTTTCTGTCGTGGATAAATTGATTGATACTGCTACAAGTATCCTCTGCAAGGAACCGAATTGTGTGGCAGTGGATTGCCATGGTGAGGATTCAAGAGTTGTTGTAGTTGGTGACATCCGTGGACAGTTCCGTGGTTTACTCAATCTCTTTGAACATGCTGGTTTTCCCTCTGACAAGCAATTTTATGTTTTTAATGGAAATTATGTTGATAGAGGATCACAGGGCCTGGATGTGTTTCTGGTCTTGCTGGCTTGGAAGGTAACATGAAGATAGTGCTAATTGTAATCTACTGGTTCCCTTTACGGCTTGTTGTTAATCTCTGACTTGACCTGATAAAGAAACTTAGAAGAATTTATATATGACCTTTTATATGTTCACGCATCTGGCCAAGTCGCATGCTAATGCTTTTATTTTATTTTATTTTTGTGTTTTTGGTTTTATGGTCCTCAAGCGAGTTGCATTGTATGTTGATTTGGATTGTGTAGCATTTTGGTGCACTTACTCTTGGGACTTTAATATGTTTTCCTTTTCTGTTTGTTTTTTACTTTATTTTATTTTTATAGGTCTTGATGCCTTGTAGAGTATATCTACTTCGTGGGAACCACGAGTCTAAATATTGCACATCCGTTTTGGGGTTTGAGGCGGAGGTTGAGACCAAATTTGGTAATCAAGGTGAATATGTCTACAATAAATGCCTTGACTGCTTTAAGGAACTCCCTCTGGCTTCGATCATAGCCAATTGTGTATATACCACTCATGGAGGTCTTTTTCGGAGCATGCGTGCTACCTCTCTGAGAAGGTCTAAAAGAAAGAGGGAAGAAAGGCTGGAACTAGGTTCTTTGGAAGATTTATCTAAGGTTCAAAGATCTCTTATAGATGCTCCAGATGAAGGTTCAAATATAATACTGACTGATGTGCTATGGTCAGATCCATCAAAGGAGGATGGTCTAGTTGAAAAATCATTTCGAGAACGGGGTCTTTGGTGGGGTCCTGAATGCACTGAGGATTTTCTAAAGCAATCCAACTTAAAGGTAATATTATGAATATTGCACTTTACTCCAGCTGATATATTTTGAACAAATGTCTCTGTCTGCTATTGGTATTTCTCACTGTCATCATAATTTGAAATTGTGAGGCCATGTATTCACCTAGTTGGATATTAGAATCTTAATGGCATATCATAGAACCAAGTTCTTTAACAAAATTACACCCTGTAGCATTGAGACATTCTTGTTGTATGCTTATTTTCTGGTTGTTATGATCAGTTCGTTGAATTTCTCAAGACAAATAACTTGTGCATGTTGAGCAATTATCAGGTAGGTACTACGCATATCTTACATTGTAACGCGCAAGCAAGTCATTATTACTCAACATTGATTAGACTCTGTTTAATTTCTCTTTATTAGGTAGGTACTATTATGCATACATTGTAACATGCAAGCACAAGTCATTATATTACTCAAAATTACTTAGAACCTCTGTTGAATTTTTCTTTTTTGGTTTTTTGGCAATAGTGTCTGCAGCTGTGCACAAAATGTTTCAGTTAGGTTTCAAACCTTTGCCGCATTTTGGGAAAATATGACTTGCTCCTTTCATGAGTTGTCATTCTAAGATTGATATCTTTTCTTTGTTGTTATAGTTGATCATAAGATCACATGAAGGCCCAGATGTAAGGGCAGATCAAGATGAATTTGGTGACATGCTAAGTGGGTACAGTTTAGATCATGTTGGAGAGTCAGGAAAACTGTACACTCTGTTTAGTGCTTCGGATTACCCACAGGTTAGGATTCCTCAGTCCATCTTTTTCTTTATTTTGTAGCTTCATTCCAACGATCAACTTTAAATTATGTTTTAGTTTACTGATTAAACCTAATTTATTTTTGTTTCCCTGGCCATTAAACTAGCATCTTTTTCATTTCAAGTAACTGAAGGAGTTGTAGACCTAAGTAATTGGATTGTCTAATGTGCAGTTGGATGAAAAGAGGTATAACAATGAAGGAGTCTATGCTTTATTGGAGCCTCCTAATTTGGAATTTCCTTCATTCTACTCATTGAAGGCTGTAGGAAGGACAAAGGTAAAGATCAAAACCATTTTAAACGTATTATTCCAGGACGGTTTTCTTGATTTTGTCAGGGAGAAAAGGAAATTCACATATGGTTTTATTTGTAATATCATAATGCGTGTGGACTCTTAGAAGTGAACTTCTTTATCATCCACTTGAGAATTAAGAGGCTTGACTTGGCCCTTTTGCAAAGTGGTTCACCATGCTTGCTTAGAACATGTGCATTCAGCACAAGTTTGAGTGAAGACCAAGAAACGTTTGCAAAAGCCAAAAGGTTCCCTACTTTTGTGTGTATTGCTTCTGTGCGAATACATCTCATTAATTCGAGACAATTTGTTAACAGGTAGATCCTTGTGTTGTTGATGCTGCTGACAAAGATTTGGTAGTTGTTGGTGAACCAGACTTGGGATTAATGGTAAGTTGGTTTTAGCTTCCAGATCCTTGTATTGTAATAAAAAATGATGGCGTGGGATTGAAATAGTTTAGCCGCACCAAATTGGATTCACATGCACAAGGCTTCCCCGTTGGTTTACAATACAACATCCATCATACTTAATTTTATAAATATATCAAATGTGATGTGTTCATGTGCCCGAGTGGGATTTTGATATCAAGGTTTCTATTTTTCTTTTGTACCTGCAGTCTGCAACTGGTGCCACTTCTTTGCCTCAAACATCTGTTCCACCTGGGATTAGTTCTGAGGTTAACTTCGAGGTTTTGGGCATTTCCAATCCCCCTTCTTGGAGTGTTATGTTAGCAGATGATGCAGGTGGAACCCAACTTGTCCAAGTTCCAAAGGCTCCTGTCGTGGAAGGATTGCCTCTGCCTTCAGACTTACAGGTGATGGATTATTCAGGTTGCAATCCTTCTTTATTAATAGATGTCTAAAATCAAGGTTTTCATGCAGGAGCCTCACCAGGCTGCTTACAAGTATTTCTTGGAGCTTATTGCTGGTCTGAAGCATATGCTTTCAACAAGGGTGAGTCAGGTTCATTTGTTCCTTCGTACTTCTTTCACTTGAAATTAACATGATTGTATTAAGCAGGAGGTTGAGGATCGGGTCCATGAGTCAGCCATCCAAAAGAGAGCTCGGCACCAAATGGGGACACCGCAGGAGGTCAACTTGAAGTCTGAGGAGTAGACACTACTTCTTATGAATTACCAAAGAGAACAATCATTGTTAATGCTGGCTGGGTGACTGGGCAATAGCTTGTATTCATCTTATTTCTTTCCAAAAAGAGAAATGCACAGATGCAAGGTGTGGATGTACTAATATGATTGGGTGGCAACGGGTCTTAACTTTTGCAATGAGGTTCCCCAAACAAGTCCTGGCTATCCATCATACCATTACTAAAAGCACATTTTTTATGGCTGAGATCAAGCAAGACTTTGCGGTGCGAACGTTTATCTTCTTCTAATAGCCGGATGAGCTAAACGATACAGTAACAAGTGAGCTATAACTGAAAAAAGATGGTGATTCTCTTGTGTGGGGATATCGATGATGCCCAAAAGGTGCACTTAGTTCAACAGCCAACCGTTTGTTTAATCAAGAAAAGCTACTGGAGGCTGTGGAAGGTGGGTAGGGATTGGAGTTTGCCTTCTACTTATTCAGGTAGTAAGCCAGCAAGTGACCATTACTGTTCATATGGTTAAGGTATGCTAGCAGTTGCTCGAATCATCGCTCCCCATGAAGAGCTTGAAAGATCGAGTAGTAATTCCTTCACAGTTCGTGCTATTGGGACAATGCCTCTTGAAGTCTCCTACAACAACAAAACTTGTTTCAATGAATGGGGGCTTGATTGTCCAAAACGTTTAGCATGCAGTGTGAGGAACAGTGGGATTGCTCTGAAATCCTTTTTTTTTTTTTTTTGTTGTAATGGTGCGCACATAAAACGGACTGCAGGTCCTTTGTACGCAACTTGTAGAAAACAATGTGTCCGCAAGGCACTTTAAAGCCCCATAATCTCATGCTTTTCGACAATTCTTACTATTGTATTCCTTCTGGGTCTTGTCTTCATTATTCCCATAATTTCTATACACAACTTTCAACTCATGGAAGATTTTCTATCGTTTTCCTTGCTTTCAAATAAGCATTTAGCACTACCAATTCAAACAGTCTCCACTTGTTGGAGGAGGTACTGAGTTGTTAAAATCTCATGGACTTTGAATGAAAAAAGTAAAGTAACATAATTATCTGGCAAAATATCAGAAATTGCCAACGCAAATTTTCTAATGCTTCATTCATATAATTGAACAATCCTTACAAACTATGACTGACAATTCTGTCAATTAAATAATTGTCCATTTGCCTTGCACTAAAGAAAGCATTTCTTTACAGCTAAATGCATTTGTCACAGAGATTCCAAAGTGCATATTTCATCAGACTACCCCGAGCTGCTGCACCATGAGACTACAAAACAAAAACTTCCAACATGCCCTGAAATCCTCAGTAAGGAGCTCCATCGCTTACTTTAGTCATAGTTACCAGCTGGATTATCCTCCCTCTCGCTTACGTTTGACAGCATTCTTACACCTACCATTTTTGGAATTCCCAACAACGTCTGTCAAACAGACATGCACTGTGCTCTTGATTTCATCAAGCAACTTCCTATCTTGGGATTCCATCTGTTCTACTAACAATGAATCAGCTATGTTTGCAATTTCTCTCATAGCAGCAGCCTATAAGATAAAGAAAAGTGAAACATAACTGAGTACAATTTTAACTATTATTAAGCGTTATTGACTTTGAAGAAGAAAAAAAAAGCATAAACTTACTATTCTCTGAAACTCAGACTCTAAAGATTCAGGCCTTCCAACAAATTTACGGGTAATATTCTCATACCACTCCATGTACGTGCTTTCATCAACACCTTCCTCACCTTCCAGAATATGGAGTTGACGCTCCAACCATTCCCTAATCTCTGAGCGCATTTTCCCTTTGCCCCCTGACTCCATATCCTTTGACAAATCTACCCCCTGATCAACTGCAGGAATCTTCCTCTCCCATATCTGGACATCCTCTGGGATAGGTTGAGGCATGCCAAACTGTCTAAGACAACGATCAGGGAGGTGTCTTTCTGCCTTGCCAAAGCATATCAACATAGTTTTTGATGTCCGGAAAATCATCTTATTTTTTATACCTTCGGGTATAACTGTGTAATCAAAATCTTTGTATGGAAACCACTTAACCTGAATGTCAATACCATACCAATTGTTCTCATCATCATCCAAGCAAAATTATATCATATAAACCTAGAAACATGTATTTGGACTTACATCAGAAGGTTGAAGTGAATCCAAGGCCTTGCGGTAGGCAACAATGTTGGTTTTCGATCTTGATCCCGTTGATCTTCCTTTCCACCTAAGAGCAAATGGAAAATAACTATGGTTTGGCTCTTCATTGAACTTTGGTTGGCCAATATTCAGGTGATAATAACTCCAACACTACAAAGAATAACAACTAACGAGAGTCAATGCATTATTGGGAAGCCATTCACGCAGAGAGATATGCCAATAGCTCCACAGCCCCACCAGACCCAAATAAATAATAAACAGAAACAGCATGCTAATGTTACCTGCAGTAGTGTCAAAGAGCCACTGATTGTGCCTTGAGATTTAAGGGAGGCATTACCAAGAGCTCTATAGAGGAATGCCAATGCTGCTGCACCCCATGCATATTTTCCAGCTTCATCAAACTTTTCAAACAATGGAAGAAATGTAACAGATACTTTATTCCCAGTAGTTGTGGAAAATATTGTGCAACCCACAAGATATAGGAGGTAAGCACGTGTATGGCGCTCAATCTCTTCAACTGGTGCATCATCAGGGCATCTAGAAAAGCACTCTCTCAACCAATTTAGCTTCAACATTCCTCCATTTAGGTCCTTCGGTGCTTTCCCGAGTAAGTCTTCACATACTGAGTGAGGCGTCTTCACTGGTACACCTATAACAGGATTTCCATCAATTGGTAGCCCAAGTATAAGTGCAACATCTTCAAGAGTTACAGTCATTTCTCCAACAGGCAAATGAAACGTATTTGTTTCTCTCCTCCACCTCTCAACAAGTGCCGAGATGAGTGAATTGTCAAGAACAATTGTTGGTATCGATCTAAAGTAGCTAAATCCGGCCTTCTCAACCAACTCAGCCTGTTTGGGTGTGAGTCTCCATTGTTCGAGCATTGAAGTGTGTTCATGACATCTAAGAACACCACGCTCCTATACATTTTGATTGAGATATCAGTACACACAACCAGTCAAATTATGGAGGGAAAACCAAGTTCTAAAAAGGATGAAGGAGAAAAGTTCTTGTCTAACCTGTCCATTCCAAATTGCTGAAGATATATGATTATCTTGATCATAAAGTACAGACTTATAAATTGGTCCAGGATTTATATGCGACTCCATCTCCATTTGAGTCACTAGCTTAAATAATCCTAAACTCAGGAAAGGGAAACATTAAACTCTAGCCCCATAAATTATGCCAACAATAAAACTCTGTGGTGTGCATGAAATACAATTGCAAATAAACTCCCTTTTACTGGAAAACGAAAAAGAAGGAAGCTTTGATAAATTTGTTCCTCTGGAGACACCAAATGTAATAGAACTTTCATTTAAAAAATGTTTTAAGCTACAAGTATTTTATTAAAGCAACCAGAGTATCACTTTCAAAGCATCCAAGCTCATGCCTTTAATGAATTCTAAAATTTTGAAAAAAAAAATTGGAAACTGAAAATCTAAACCATAATAGAAAAATATACCCAGATTACCAGTGACGTGAAACTCAACAACCCAATTATTTTCTAGCCAAAATAGGGCAAAGCCTTCTTACTTTTCATGAAAAAAAAATTTGAAACTTCGCAGTTTTGAAAATTTTATTTATTTTCCAACATTTTCCCAGGAAACAAACGGAAACCACAGAAAATTACAAATACAAATTCAAGCACAGAATATACTGACCTTAAATTAGTTGTGTACCGAAACTAAGGTTTGCTAAGAGGATCAGAAATCATGGAAGACTTGGACGGGGACGATGAAACCCAGAAAACGACGACGATGAAGGTGTCGTCTAGGTTCAAAGAACCTTGGAGGATAAGTATGAAACCAGAGTCGTTTTCCCGTTCTCTTCTGAGATTTCAGTGAGATGGTGTCGTACTCTGGCGAAGACCATCCAAACGGTGAGAATTGCGGAGTCGTGTTATGTCATTTGTGGTAAGTTATAGCAAACGACAATTAACAATCCGTGTCGTGTTATATATGCCCATGTAGATTGGATCATTGGATCGTCTTCTTGTATATGGTTGACCTATGAGAGAAATAAAAAGCAAAAAAAAAAAAAAAGAAGAAAGAAAGCCCAAATTTCATATTAAAAAAGGAGAGCCCCCAAATACCAATCTTGCAGCCCATTAACTATTTAGTTTAGTGATATTTCTGCTCTACATTTCTCAACATCGAGAAAGTATGAATCTATATATATAAAGCAAAAGGCAGAGAATGGTGAAACATTCAAAATACCAGAAAATGCCCTTGGTTAATGCAAATATTAAGAATTGAAATTATTAATTAAATGAGGATAATATGATAAATTCATACTTTTTCATATTTAAAAAAAATAAAATTAAAAGAAAATTCGGATAATGGATCCTATTTTTATGGAAAACAACTACTCATTATCTTTTTAATTCTAAAATAAAATTTTAAATTTTAAAAATAAAGCCTATTGTCTCACCCCGAATATTTAATAGATAAACAGATGATGAAAGAATGATGAGATAGAGTTATAAATCCGAACATATAATTGAACCCTTACAACAAGTGCCAAACTAAAAAAAGATTTATATGAAACATAAAGTTTGGACATATTTAAAATTTATCTAAATAAGAGAGTGAATTATGGAGTTTTCGTTAATCTGAAAAATAATATTTCACGTAGATATGTAGAAGAATCGATTACACTCTATTACCAATGTGCTTAAATGAAATTTGGCTCGTGACCTTTAAAATGTTTCAATGTTTTTTATCCTAAAAAGTTGACAAATTAGACAATAAGAGGCAAATTATAGCCATTTGAAAGTTTAAGGAATGTAAAAGTTAATTTTTTGAGGAGCCTAAGGAGATTACAATTTTATCATTCATGGTACTCCTAAATTTATTCAAGAAAATAACGATCCTTGTAATAAAGTTGACATTTCCTAAAATATTTTGATGACCTAAATATCTCGAATCAATATATAAAGAGTGCTGCTAAACGAACCCTAAAATTAACTGAGTACACCCTACTATCAACCTGGAAAATGATGATTATGATGAAGATAAGAGAGAGGGACGTTGTGGAGAAGAAGATGCCTTGTTCCATGGTTTGTTTTGGCTTTTGTTGGTTTATAAGTTTGATTTTGAGTGGTGGATGTGGTATGTATTTATAAAGAAGAGGGTACGAGAAGGAAATATCTATATATAGATTTTTGTATGGAGAAAGATATATATAGAAATTTTATTGAATGGGTAATGCTATGCTTAATTATGCTTAAATTATTAGATCTCTAACTTAATTATGCTTCAATTATTAGATCTCTAACTATAAATGAGATACAAATGAAATTGAGTACATGAATTAGATACAATCTATTATCAGCACGCATCAACCCTAGGGTGAATATCTTCAAAATAACATCCTTAACATGGAGAGTCATCACTGCAAGGTGTTGAGGCCCAAAAAAGTCACGAGAAGCCCAAAGACATTTAAGGCCCGATATAACATATAATTTTGGTCATGCGTTAATCCAAGCTATATTTTGGGAATTAATTCATTAAATAAATAATAGTGTTCATGCCATGCAAAGCCAATAATACATTTTTCATATGTCAATCACCTATCAAGCTTACATGAACCCAAGTCATGTGGTTACGGGGCTTGCATGAGGGATTGTGGTGTGGAAGGTTACGGAGGTCCACAAGGCCCACAGAAGCTCTTGGATAATGGAGACTTTGGGCTAGCTACTTGGGAGCACCAAAGTCCAAGCCCATTACTTAGAGTTCTCCAATGTGGGTAAGCAAATGAGATATTTTCCAAGCATTTCCTTTTATCCATAGGAAATAGTCATTCTCCAAATACATAGCTTTACCCATTGGAAACAAGCCTTTTCCAGCACTCCCTATTACCCGTTGGAAACAAGCCTTTTCTAGCACTCCCTATTACCCGCTGGAAACAAGCCATTTCCAGCGCTTCCTTTTACCCATTGGAAATAGGCTGGTTCCAGCACCTCTCTTTGCCTATTGGAAATAAAGGAAAACCCCCACCCTCTATAAATTGAGAGGCATTTGCTGGGCAAAATCAGTTTTCTCTTGGTGGTTGCATGCTTCTCAACAACCATGAGAACTCATCTTCTTTTATCTTTTTGGCTGCTGCAAGCATTCCAGCAGCCATCCCAGTTATTAACCTCCATATTTTGACTGCTGCAAGCATTCCAGCAGCTGTCAACCAACATCTCTTGGTTGCTTAAGCCCCCAGCAACCATCGAACCACTTTCCTTTCTCCCTTTGGCTGCTGCAAGCATTCCAGCAGTCATCCCATCTATTCCTCAACCATTACAACCAAGATTTTCCTTCCTCATCATACCTTTCCAAGCTATAAATACCATAGCCTTCAAGTCTCAAGCTTTTCCTCCCATCCTCCTCTTGAAACTTTTAAATCCCCATAGCCATAGCCACAAATAACAAATCATCAACACCCCAAACTCAAGCATATCCAACACCAAGCCGAGCACATGCATTCTCATTTGCTAAACTTGTGAATCTTTAGCTCCCACACTCCAAGCTCTCATGCCAAGCTAATATAATCTCATATCTACATCAGCAAGTCATCTTCACTTTTTCGTCAAGCTGCCGGAAACGTCAACATCAAACACGCAGCTGCTGGAAGAAGAACAGAGTACCCCCTGGGACATGCTTTTCCCTCGGGATGCTTTGGGCCTAGTCCTCGCTAACTCAGAAAAGGGGCAACAAACCACTCTATGGCGGTTCGAGAATCAACAAGCCCGGACGAGCCTTTCGACGGAAAAAGACCCCAACACACTCTATATAAATTATACAACATGACAATCAAAGCCAATATAATCCACTAAACAAACTCGATCTTTTCCTTAAACAAGAAGGAGGATCAATAAAGAAACAAGGAAAATGGGAAGATGAAATTTTATAAGAAAAAATAGTTATATTGCTAAGAAATGGTTGAAAAAAAGAAAAATAAATAGCTTTAATACTCACGTGCTTAACACGTGGGGACAAACTAGACAAAGGCAGAGGCAACGACAGTTCAAAGTTCCTCCGGCTCCATGGCAATGGAAATTGAAGTGGAAGACCATTCGAAAGTCATACTAGAGAAGGGTCATAAGGCTGTGTTTGGAAGAGGAAATGGGTTCAGCACCAACGACCGTACAGTGTCTCGTCGTCACGTTTTGTTCGAATTTGAACACAAAAGCGCGAACCAAACAGAACCCAGCGTTTCATTTGAGGTTCTAGGGAAGAATCCCATATGGGTCCGGAGCCAAAAGGATGGGGGAGTTGGGGTTTTCAGGAGGTCGGAGAAGGGTGAGGTGGCGGCTGGTGATTGGTTCTGCGTGTCTGGGAAGAGACCCGTTTGGTTCAGAATGAGAAATGTTGAGGTGGAAGAGAGAGAGAAGAGGGTTTTGGAGAGTGAGAGTGAGTTGGCTGAGGGTTTGCAAAGTGGGTCTGAATTGGAAGGTCTTGATGTCTCAGGCATTGACCCTGTCAAAGGTTTGGCTCTAAATTACTTCATGGTCTTGTTTGTTTGCTGTGAAAATTGAACAAATGAAGAGAAAAATCTTATCTTGAGATCTTTGGGTGGCTTTTTATGTTTGTTTTCCTTTTTCTTTGTTTGAGATGAGGTGTTAGTGTTCATGAGAGTGATTAAATGACTTCAATTTATGGGTTGCAATCACTTTCAGGTACAGTTTTAGTGATTCTTTTTGTTTGCTGAGAAATTAAGTAAAAATGAAAGAAATATGAAATCTTGAATTTTGTGAATTGGTACTGTTTTGAGAATCTTTGGTGTTACTATATGAAATTGGTAAAATGTATGTTATCAAAAGGTTGAGAATGTTGTAATGAAGAATTTGAGGTTACTTCCTAGGCCATTGAACACTCAGCATTTTGAAAGCACCTTCTTTATTGTGTTCAATTTAGCTTTTGTAGGCAAGATTTGTACATTAAAATTGCTACCTTGTATATATGTTGAATAACAGATTTTGAGTTCTTTCACCTGTAACTTAATTCATTCATAGCGGCTAACTTCTCGATTTGGGGCATTGTATCTGTGTATGCATATTTCTTGTTAAATTTTCTCCTTTATACATTACGGTACCTAGAATTACCAGTTATGCTTGTGATGGTAATGTCACAACTCTTTCTGGAATGCAGAGTTTGGCTTTGTTGTAATGGGGCATGAGTTTGATCCCTATCCCAAGCAAATGATCCGTGATGTAAAGAAGTGGAACTGGTTTCTTGAGGAACCTAGAAAAGAAATCGACAATGATGACGAATTTGAGCTCAAGGAGAGAAAGGGTGCACCAAGAAAGAGGAAAAAAGGCGAAGAAAATGAGGATGAGGAGTGGACAGGGGAGAGTGAAGCTGATGAGGAGCTTGTTCCAAAGTTTAGAAAGGTAAATAAGCCAAAATATTCTACAAGATCAAAGGCCGGTTTCAAACCTCAGAAGGATACAAAATGTGGTAGTAAAAGTTCTGTGCAGAAGAAGAAGACTTCTAGTTTGGGCGAAGAAGAGGGCATAGAAAACGAAGATGAAGACGACGAAACACTTGGAGGCTTCATTGTTGGTGAGGAGGACTTGGAAGAAGAAGAACTAGAAGAAACCGATGAAGACGAAGAAGAAGAGGAATTTGTTGAAGAAGAAGATGATGAAGAAGAGTAGAGGATTGACAAGGAAAAACCATGTTTTTGGTTGTGCATGTTATGTTTTCCATCGTGTATATCGCATGGTTTCTTAACCTTTCCTCAAAATGCTTTTGCCAACAACTAAACGACTTTGTTTTGATTAGAAGTATAAATATAAATATAAGTAGAATATCTTATTTATTTATTTTTAACCAATAGAGAGGAGAGATTCAAATTTAAGGGTAAACAAATATTCTTTTTGGTTAGAGATCAAATTCAACACACCCATCCCATGTATTCATGCTTTACTGGTTTGGAAAAGACCCATAAAATTTATATTAAAAAACAAACAAACCAGAACGACGACGTATTGTGCTACAGAAGTTTTATATATGCTGCGCTTTTTTCCTTGCCCAGCTTCAATATAAATATCTGAAAATGCAAAATTGAAATTTTAAATTCATGCCCGGTTCTCGCCCGACGGCGCCGTTTCAAGCTAGGGTTTCTCTGCAACCACAGAATCCAATTTCAATTCCAACTTCCAACACTCTCACAAAAAACCTAGCTAATAAGGTAACTAACCCAAATCCGAATCTTAGGGTTCATCGCACTGCTTGCTTTGAGGATTTAAGCCAATCCAATGGCATAATTGCAAGCTAAGCTAAGGCTTAGTCGCCCACAAATTGATTCCTTTGCAGGTCTATAGGTATCAAAAAGGTGGAGAGGAAATTTGGGCCTAAGAACAAATGGAAGATTTTCCTGAACGCAGTCGTTTCGACGACAACCAAATCGCTTACAATGGAAACGAAGAATTTGAACAACCACCAGAGCAACAATATGAAGAATTTGAACAACCACCAGAGCAACAATTTGATTCGGGGCGTGGTTTTGAAACGAACCATAACGTAGATAGTGAAGGCAATGAGTTTAGGGATTCATTCAATCATCGTGATTCGGCTGCGGGGTTAGTTGGGTTTTGAGTTTTAAAGTTACAGTTTTTCTTGATAGAAATTTCAATTCTTGTGAATATAATTGAGGGTAGAATGAGAGAGTAACATTTGGGTTTGCTTTCTTATGTGGTAGAAAACTATTTGTAGGAGGCGTTTCTTGGGAGACGACTGAAGGTATTTGGTTAAGCTTTTGATTTCGTGTTTTTACTTGTAAATTCGAAACAGACATAGTTTAACATAGTTTCACATCTGGGGTCATATTGATGTCATGAATTGTACATTTTGTGTTTCTTCATACTGGTGATCGAGCCTATCTTTTTGTAAGCTGTTGTTACTCTGAATGAAACTGGATTTATTTGTTTGAGATATCCAAGAATTCAAAGCTTGTTGCTTTACTTTTCATTTCATGTTGTAGATTCTGACATCTACTAGATTAGTTATGTTTGTTTGTTGAATATGGCCATCTGGTGTATCTTTGTGTGCCCTATTGGCCATCTGGAGTTTTCTAGAATTTCCTCTGGACGAGAACATATGAAATAGTTTTCGTTTTAAAAATTTCTATTAAATTCTATGGAGAAAGTGCAATTGGTTGCTATGATTTTCATTAATTTCTATGAATAAGAAAATCAAACACACCATTATCTGTCTTCTGTTTCTTTTTAGACTGTTTACTTAGTTACTCTCTCACGTAATTTTTGGCTTGCTGCTAACGTACATCATAGAATTTGTTGCTGTTAGTTAATTATGATAGATTATTTTAGTCGTGTTATGGTCCTGATGCCATTTCAATTTCCTTCTTAAAACTTCACTTTCTTTAATGGAGGGAAAGGAGCTGGAATTTGAGCTACTTTCATTTATTTCCTGACCTGTTTCATCGTGAATAGTATTAACTCCCCCTTTATCCTTATCCGATTTTCTGATGATTTTCCTTTCAGAGGCCTTTACCAATTACTTCAGCAAGTATGGAGAAATAGCAGATTCTGTTATAATGATTGATAAACATTCTGGGAGGCCAAGGGGGTTTGGGTTTGTAACATTTGCTGATCCAGGGGTTGTTGATTCGGTTTTGGAGGAAGAACATGTCATAGATGGCAGAGTGGTAAACATTCATTGCCCTAGCGCCTAATAGTATAATAATAATTTCATAATTTTCCCAAAACTTCGAATAGATTGTTGAATAGTTTTGTCTGACTCAGTTACCCGATTGGTGTTGAAATATTTTATACCAGGTGGAGGTGAAGAGGACAGTCCCGAGGGAGGATATGGGGTTTAAGGGGATATCAAAAAGAAAGAAGATTTTTGTTGGTGGAATACCAACGTCTTTGACTGATGGTATAGTAGAACCTACTTCATATTTTTATTATGATTGCAATAATATTTATTTTCCTTTTTTGACATTATGGTAAAACATTTTAGATGAGTTGGGGGAATATTTCTCTACATATGGTAGCATTGTTGAGCACCAGATTATGGTAGATCATAAAACTGGGAGGTCTAGAGGATTTGGGTTTGTCACTTTTGAGAATGAAGATGCTCTTGACAAGGTATTTTCTGAGGGCAAGATACATGAACTTGGAGGCAAACAGGTACAAGTTAAAGATTGATTTGTATATCTTTTCATGTATGGTTTCTGGATGAAATGTTTATAACGTTGGCACTTTAATGTTAAATGTAGGTGGAAATAAAAAAGGCTGAACCTAAAAGGGGTGGTGGTGATTTCAGTGGCAGTGCTCCCAAGTCATATGGTGGCTTAGGTGGTGCTGCAGCTGGATATGGTGCATATAATTCTGCAAGTCGGTACAATGGAAAAATGGGCAGGGGCTATGGTGGGGGTGGGTATCCCACCTATGGTACTTACAACAATTATGGTGGAAACTATGCTGGAAGCTATGCGGGTTTCTACGGTGGGTATGGTGGATATGGATATGGATTTGGGTATGGTGGACCCATGTACGGCAATGCTGGATATGCAGCCAGTGGATATGGCATGCCTGCTGGTTATGGTGGGAATACTGCCTATGGTGGTGGTAGAGGGTATGGAAATGGTGCTGTTGGCCGTGGTGGTGGTAGTGGTGGTGGTGGTGGAAGTTATGTTTCTGGTAGAGGATATGATCGGAGTGGTGGTTCTACGACTGGAAGATATCATCCTTATCAAAAGTGAGGAAAAATTTTGTTGACTTCATACTTTGTAATCAACGTCCACCGACTGTTGGAGCATAGCGAATTTTCCTCAGTCGCTGCGTGAGAGCATCAACAAAATTTGCTGTAATTGTGAAAAAAAAACTCTGATAATATTTGTTAAAATTTGTGGTACTTTGCCCTATCAGACCGGTTGATTTGGAAGAGGAAGCAAATGACAACTTTGCCAGCATAAATGGGTCTCCGATAGGAGGTTTTCTAAGATCCTTGCACACTCTGTAAAGAAAATTAATGTGCAGATCAACTTTTTTGCAAGCCATACAGAAATTCTACAGCTTATTTATGTCGCAACTTTTAATAGCAGGGATGTTTTTGATTGAAATGTCTTATCAGTTGCTTGTAGTTTTAAGCATCGTTTAGAACATATAGGGTTGGTCTGTGTTGTGTGCTCTTCTTTTGTTTGGCTAAAAAGGAAGTTGGAAAAGCAGAGTGTAGTCGAGTACTTGAGTAACTGTAAGTTCAAGATTTTGGCCATCTTTGAAGTTTGAACAAGTTTCATTCGTTGTGCGCTTTTAGCTTTCTGACCTATACAACAAGCCAAATGTGTTTTTCCGGTATATGGTTTGCAGTTTGCCTTCTGCTATTGGAAATGCTATTGTGACTGTATTTAAGTTCAATCACACTGTCACGTGAAAAAAGTTAAAATACATAATTGGCTTTAGACACGGCCAATAATCTCCTTGGAGACCACTAGAAAGTTCCTTATTGTAAATTTGTAACTTGCATTGAGCCATAAATAAAAAATAAAAAATCTCCTTGGATATGACTAGAAATTTCCTTATTGTAAATTTGTAACCTGTATTGAGCCATAAAAAAAAATTAAAAAAATTAGCAATTGGAGAAATTGGAAATGTGGGCCTGTCCAAATATGGGAATAGGATTATCCCGGCCAAGTTTTGATTGTGTCCAGAACCTATTGGTGCCTGCGTCTCTGTGTCTATCCAAACAACCAAGTTTAGCATAGAAATGCGAGCTTTCCTTCAATGAGCCCTTGAAACGGAAAGACCAAAGTATTTTAGATAGGTGTGGTTATGTCGTTCTTGGTCAAGACCACTAACTGTCACCATTTATCTTCCACTGCCATGGCAATGTGTTCAAGCTTTTGCCCTCATCTTCCAAACCACCTTGGAGGGAGACCTGCTTACTTATTCCCTACAAAACCACTTTCTTTTTCTTTCAAGGCTTTCTCTTCTCAAGCATCCAATGCTTCATCCAAAGGTATTTTCTTAATGTCTCTTCATATTATTTTACTGGGTAGTTCTTATTTTTCTCAATAATAATAATTTTTAAATAAAAATAAATAAACCAACAATTGAGCTTAGCATGCAAATGGGTTGTGGGGGAGATGGTGTTCCAAAGTTGCAAAGGATAGAATTTTTCACAGTTTACACTGAATATTGAACAGAATTTTGCAGAATCACTGAGGTATTAGATATTTTGTAGTGTCTTCTGCTACATCTTTATGCCATCCACTGAGCTTGGTATTTTTAAATTCATGCAGATGAATTGCAAACTCGTGTGGGTTTCCTTGGCCTCGGAATTATGGGTTCTCCGATGGCACAGAACCTCATAAAATCTGGGTATGGATTTTCAACATTTGATGATGTTCATTCATTCTTGTTTGAATGGTTAGAAAAAAGTCCCTGTTAAGGCTTTATGTTAACTATTTGGAATTTTATAGGTGTGATGTGACTGTTTGGAATAGGACCAAGAGCAAATGTGATCCACTCATCAGCTTAGGTGCAAAGTAAGTAATGTACCGGATATCAAATGAATATTGCTTTGTGCTCTCAGATCCATTAGAATAATGCCCTTCGGCATAGATGATTAAAATCTTGATAATGTTTGAATGACATCCTTAAGACCTTCTTCTTAACATCATGACATTCAGTTGTTTTCAGTACTAGTAGATTCACCAACAACAAAATTTCTTATAGATTAGTTGTTTATTGGTAGTTTCTTTTATCTGCACCTTTCAAAAGCCACAAGTGGGTATCTCATTTAACAGAATGGTTATGCAGATATAAACCCTCTCCTGAGGAAGTCGCTGCATCTTGTGATGTCACATTTGCCATGCTTGCTGACCCTGAAAGTGCTGTGCGTATGTTTTCATCTAGGTTTTTTCTTGCTTACTTTGCTACCACAGTTGGAGGAACTTATTGCTTCTTTTAACTCAGGTTGATGTTGCTTTGGGGAAGCATGGAGCTGCAAATGGGATGAGTTCAGGAAAAGGGTAATATTTGATGAATGCATCCCTTGAACATAAGCAATTTTAGTGTTCCAAATCATGAATCTTGAGTTAGTGCTAAACAATAAAAGTGTTGAATGGTTTCATATCAGGATATATGTTTTTTGATAACTACGCAGCTTTTCCACTTTTCTTTTCAAAGTTTAAGTTCTTGCTGTTTGTTTCTCAGTTCACATTCCAATTGTGGTACACACTTCACCAAACACAACTTCCATCAACCTTTGATTTCCTCAAATATATTCTTCCTAAGCTGGTCAACAGCATTTATGTTACTCTCTATGGACATCTACAGGTATGTGGATGTTTCAACTGTTGATGGTGCAACTTCAAAATTGATTAGTGGACATATCAAATCTACTGGGGCATCATTTTTGGAGGCAAGCTGTTTATTAGTTTTATTTCTAAAATATGTGCAATGCATCTGTACAATTTCATTCTTTAAGTTTAAGCATGACTAAATCCAAGTATTGGTGTTTTTCCTATAGGCTCCAGTTTCGGGCTCAAAAAAGCCAGCAGAAGATGGACAACTAATATTTCTCACTGCAGGCATGCAATCTTGTTGTTTTCATTATTGCATTTCTGAGTACCATTTATTTATGCTTATTCCTGTCACCAATATGAATGCAAGATGTTGAAACCAAACACCCACCCCCCAAAAGAAAGTAAATGAATGGAATTTGTAAGTAGTCATTTGCAAAATTGTGGTGATTATGTTTGTTATTGAATATGTTCAAGGATCTTTATCTAGTAATAACATCAGTACACTTCAAATATCATCTATTTTTCAACATGCAACTCTCTTTGCCCTTTAAAGTTTCATGTTCCATAGCATGTGGAGGGACCTCAGAGAAACTGAATCATAGTGAAATCTTTCAGGTGACAAATCTCTCTATGAAATAGCAGCACCGCTTTTAGATGTCATGGGGAAGGTATTGGCTCTTCTTCACCTAGCCATCCAGTTACCTGTGTCTATTTTATGCTTATGTTAACAATTCCATCCAGTCAAGATTTTACCTTGGGGATGTCGGAAATGGTGCTGCTATGAAACTTGTTGTGAACATGATCATGGGAAGGTAATGCAGTGTTTCATTTCAGGTAATTCCCTTTATTTTTTGGTTGTATTGATTCATGGTTGTTATTCTGACAGTGTATCCTTTTAACCTTTTTCTACAATTTCTAGTATGATGGCATCATTTTCTGAAGGCTTGCTTCTCACTGAGAAAATAGGACTGGACCCAAAAGTACTAGTTGAGGTACTCTCCAGAACATGCCTAATCTTTCTGCATTGTTTTCTTTATATTACCTTTTATGAAACTCCTCGTGATTCAATATTTTTCTTTGAACCGGATTGTAATCATTTAAATGTCTCTGTCTCTTTAAGTTTTTTTATTTTTTTTATTTTTAATTTTATCAAATTTTAGGTGATGAGGCAAGGTTGATAAGTCATTTAGTGACCGATTAACTTACCAATTTCAACAGTATAGGGCTATGAATCTATGACCCATGTAGAGAATGATTCTTCCATCTGGGAATGGACTAAAGAGTATCAAGGTTTATAGAGCTAAAGCATTGCCCATGTTCGATAAATAAATAAAAAAGGCATTGCCCATGTTCGATAAAAAGAAGAAGCAGCATTGTCCATGTTCATAATGATTCACAGTGACATTAATGGGCGAGAAGTTTCATTCAGACAACTGATTCCAATTCCTTGTTCAAGTCCCTCATCCAAACAGACGCTTAATGAAAACTGATCTGTAATGGAGAGGCAGATTAATTGTCTAGAAAGGAGGCCTGATTGGAGAGATTTTATGAGAGATGATGTTCTCTCTCTATCTTTTATTTTCTGTATGCTGTATTTTAATTTAGGTTCATTGAGTTATTGTCCTTGAAGGGTTGCTTGTTCTTCATTTTCTCATTGATAAAATTGTTTTTATGTACCAGAAAGAGGGAAAAAATCCCAAGAAGTATGAAATCATTGCATTCCCATGGTTTTGCAGGTTGTCTCGCAAGGAGCCATTAGTGCACCAATGTACTCAGTCAAGGGCCCATCAATGATTCAGTCCCTCTATCCTACTGCATTTCCCTTGAAGCATCAACAAAAGGTGTGTTAAGTTGCCCTCACTGCCTTACGCTATATCATTAACCCCCTGACCTAATTGTACAACGTTCATAAATGCTTGTAGGACCTAAGGCTTGCTCTGGGATTAGCAGAATCTGTTTCCCAATCCACGCCAATCGCAGCGGCTGCAAATGAACTATACAAGGTAGCAAAATCACATGGGCTCAGCGACGAGGACTTTTCAGCTGTCATTGAAGCGTTGAAACCAAAGTTGCAGCAATAGGCAAAGTAGTTGATAGTCAATTTTTTCATGAAAGTAACTATCAAAGTGAAATCATATCTTACACATTTCTCAATTGTTTTGTGCTTCGTTCTTTTATTTTCAATGATTAAGGGCATGTAGGGAAGAGTCCAATGAAAATGATCAATTCTGTGGCGCCTCAGCCCTGTATAGAAAGTTGGATATTCTCTTGCTTTTTGCTCTTTACAGGTATCCCAGGCCAGCTATTCTTGTGATCTTCAACTTGGTAGTTCAGTGTGATGATACTTATTTGACCACAAAGGAAGGAAAGTGATGGAAATCCATGTACAGGTGTATATAACGCTCCCCTCTTCTCACAACTCACCTCGAGAGGAGCATTGTATATACCCGTTATATGCCAGAAAATATTTCCAATTTTAGGCTATGGGAATGGCTTTTATGGAGAGTAACACATCATTCTCTTAAAAGCCTATGCATAAGTGGAAAAATTGTTATGTGACATTGACATTATGCTGACATGTCACGTGATGCTCCGAATCCACTCACGCTCTAAAATGTAATCAAATCTCCATGTAGTCGACTTACGGACATGTATTGATGATTGTATGCGTTACAATTGGGTAGGTTCTTGTAGCACGACATCGATATGCCACGTAGTGTTATCGCTACACAAAATTGGAATGGCTTTTATGGAGAGTAACACATCATTCTCTTAAAAGCCTATGCATAAGTGGAAAAATTGTTATGTGACATTGACATTATGCTGACATGTCACGTGATGCTCCGAATCCACTCACACTCTAAAATGTAATCAAATCTCCATGTAGTCGACTTACGGACATGTATTGATGATTGTATGCGTTACAATTGGGTAGGTTATTGTAGCACGACATCGATATGCCACGTAGTGTTACCGCTACACAAAATTCGGTAGGTTTTTGTAACGCAACATCGGTGATTTGGTATGCCATGTAATGTTATCAATGCACAAAATCGGGTAGATTTTTGTAACACAACATTGGTATGCTATGTACGTAGTGTTATCAATGCACAAAATTTGGTAGGTTTTTGTAACACAACATCGATATGCCACGTGTAGTGTTATCACTGTACAAAATTGGGCAGGTTTTTGTAACACAACATTGATATGCCATGTAGTGTTTACATAAGAATTTCACACTGATTTGGATTCTAAGCCTCTCTACCATTATAAATTTGGCTCTTCCCCTTCATCCTCCACACACACTGTTTAACAGATATACACCAAATTGGCGGAGGTGGTTTCATGTTTTGAGTACAAACTAAAGCCTCGAGAGAGAGAGAGAGAGAGAGAGAGAGAGAGAGTTTGTCAGTTGCTGTGACTTGTCAGTGGCTTTTTCAAACTCACCCAATTGGTTCGTGGAGCCGACGGGCCCCACCCCCACAGTATAAAACAACTCCTCCTAGGTTTAGCCACGAGACGAGAGACTGAGAGAAAGACTCGCTTCTCAATCTCCCTCCCTTTTTCTCTCCACTTTCCCTCTCTTTCTTTTCCTAGGGTTTTGTATTTTCTCGCTTCCCAAACAGGCTTTCAAAATGAGCAGCAACAAAGATACCTTCGACATGTCCGACCTCGGCTCCTCCCTCCCCGCCGCTGCCGCCGGTAATACCTTATCTCACGTGTTAAACCCTATTGTATGTGTAAGGGGAAATTATTTGAATTATGTTGCGTGAAAGCCAAAACCCTGAAGCTTAATTTTGGTTTCTTAATCTCATTTTGCAATTGGAATTTGGCTGTGGAACTATTTTTAAGGCCTTTGTGTGGTGAACTTGAGAATTTTATTGGCATTTTGTTATTGCAGTACTTTGAATTTGAACTCTTTGTTTGGCTTTTGTGTATAGCTCTTAGTGCAGAGGATCGTGCTGGTCTTGTTAATGCTCTTAAGGTGAGGTTCTTTTGCCATGTTGTAATTTTTTCAATAGCAAGAAAGATATGTGGTTGCTGTTTCTTGTGGCTCTTATGATGATCATCGTATGGTTAAAATTCAAGTTTGGTAGTGGAAATAAAAACAAGTTTTCTTATTTGGCACAAGGTGCGGAAGGTCAGCAAGGTGAGCGCCCTCCCGAGTGCAAGCAACAATAGTGACAGTTATGAATGGACGGGCTTGCGAGGGTGGCTTCTGCTTCTTGAGAGTTGAGTGTTTGATATTCCTTGGTATTGTTTGGGGAAAATGGGTACCCTCCTGGTGCTTTGGGTTTTATTGCTTCTGTTGGATGTTTAGGTTGGCCAGTGCTGTCTATGTCCTATGAAACCCTAAGTATATTTATTGATACATTTCTCTTTCATTGTTTGTTTATTAAATATAGCAATGCAACATGCTTTTATCATCCTGTCACACCGGTAAGCACATTTCTTACATTTCCTGACCATATTACTAATCACATCTCTCATGTGGTATGTATTTACGGCTACCCCTTTGCATCCTCGCGGATCACCGTGAAGTTGCATAAAATTCCCAGTCATATCTCAACCCTGCATCACCTCCCAGTGATCCCTAGCTCATATTTAGTACCATCTAAGCTGGCTTTCAGGACATGCTTAACATCAAACCCATTTGTCGATGTGTCAAATTGACACAGGATCAAAACCTGAAAACTCTCAGATTCCAGTGCCATTGGCCCAACGAACATAATGAATCAGAGATGGGTGTTGGCTTGCCCAAGTTTTGGATTGTTGGGCAAGTGGAGATGGATCTTGATACATTCATAACAGTTATTAAAAAGATGAGCAAAATTCATCCAAAAATCATAGCAAGACCACAAAATAACTGACCATTGGGATCTGTGCACACCCATTTGTCCCATTCATGACCACCAGGAGATTCACGTCGAACTAGAAAACCAAGAAACCAGTGACAAAACGTCAAGAGTCGATAATTAGCAACAGCAAGTTAAATCAAGATGTGTGAATTCCCAAAAAAGAAAAAAAAATTGGGTGTAGATATACCATTGATCCAATTCTTGGGGAGGTTGGGATGAGACTTAAAGCTCAACAGCATCTTGTTCTTATGGTGCTTTTGGAGAGAAACTTCCCTGCCCCGGTGCTAATGTCCCTTTCTTCTTATCTCTCTCTTCATCATTTAACAAAGAAAAAGAGATATTAGCTCCGAGGTAGGGAAGGATTTTACGTGGTTTTGAGGAACATTGAGAAACCAAAGGATAGTGTGGTTTTATTTGGGGACATATATAAGAGAAACCAAGCTGTGGCTGGTCTAGCTAATGGAGACTAAGTGAGAGGATAAAAGTTACAGCATGTAGATTGTGATTGTTCTTAACCCAAGGAAAATATAAACAACAACAAAGAAGAGGGAAGCTGTGATTATTCTGTTTAAAATTTTCAGTTCAATCAACTACAAAGAAGAGGGAAAGGCCACCACAAACTGGCTCTTTGTGGCTCTTGATGATCATATATACTTAAGCACTTTTAAGAAGAGTACTTCTAAAGAAGAAGAAAAACTATCCAATTGTTGAGCTCCATTTACAGTGTGATCTAATAGTATGAACTGTCAATTTATAGATCATCTCTTGTTTAAAAAATTAAAAAAAATTCAAATCAGAATAATTTAGAGATTTTTATTCAAAAACCCATTTTAGCATGACATATTATATACCAAAACTCATATAAAGCTTATTTGGAGAGAAAAACCCAACACTAGCCACTTGCCATTTTTTACTTGGTTCTTCTTCATTTGTTAAAATTTTATAATAATTAATTAGAAAATGTCAAGTGGCTAGTTTTGGGTTTTTCTCTCCGAACAGGCTTTATAAGGATTTTTGTATAATATGTCAGGTTGGAATGAGACGCCCAATAATTTAACCATCTTTTAAGACTTCCAGTAGGTTTGGATAGTAAATTTAAAGTTTTTATGTAAATGAATTGAATTATGTTCAAGCGAGCAATAGTAATCCAAAAGATCAAGTTTTTCTTTCCACAGTTCTATTAAAAAAATTTAATCACTTATTGGTGTGGTCTGCCAGGGTCCTATTTTCTTATTGGTGATTCTTTTTAAGTTACTTATTGTTGGTGTTGTTTGCAGAATAAGCTTCAGAGCTTGGCTGGACAGCATACTGACATATTGGAAACTTTGCCACCCTCGGTCAGGAAGCGTGTTGAGGTTTTGAGAGAGATACAGGTTTGTCTGCCTTCAAATTTCATTACATAAGTGTTATTCTGAACTTTTTGTACCAAATCCTAATTTTATGGATGAGTATAGCCTAAGATTGAGAATAAACAATAGGATAGGTAGAAATAAATTTGTGCTCAATCATAGAGCTCCTGAGTACCCCATATATGTCCATATCTTGCAGGGCCAACATGATGAGCTGGAAGAGAAATTTTTTGAGGAGAAAGCTGCATTGGAAGCAAAATACCAGAAGCTTTATGAACCTCTCTACACAAAGGTATGCAGTGTCTCAATAGGCATTTAGTTCTTATTACTTTGATGTCATGCTGTCTTATAGTTTAGAAATTTTCATGTTTAAAATTCATCTGAAGTTGAGTTTTGTGAATTGGCTTTAAACGTGCTGCTATATGCAAGGATGACGTATATGCCTTTCTGGTTTCTGTGACGGTTGATTGCAGAGATATGACATTGTTAATGGTGTAACTGAAGTCGAAGGAGTGAAAAATGAAGATGCACCAGACCAAGAAGGAGATAAGGCCACTGAAGGTACCTCTCAAAATTCAAATCTTTAATGATTAGCACTACCCTTGAGTTTGATGTTGGATTATTCCTTTTGATGTAGAGAAAGGAGTGCCTGACTTTTGGCTCACCGCAATGAAGACTAATGAAGTACTTTCTGAGGAGGTGGGTGATTTTATTAGCCATTTACTGTGCTCATTTCTTGAATTGATTGTGGAAATATAATAAGCTGTTTCCTGGAATAGATCACAGAGCGTGATGAAGGTGCACTCAAGTATCTCAAAGATATCAAGTGGTGTAGGATAGACAAGCCAAAAGGATTCAAGCTGGAGTTCTTCTTTGATCCTAATCCGTATTTCAAAAATTCTGTCCTGTCAAAAATATATCACATGATTGATGAGGACAATGAGCCTATTTTAGAAAAGGCAATTGGGTAATTTTCGTATCTGTTGTTTTACTGATTTTTTTCCCCTTTTTTCCCTCTAATTCTTAAGTTGGATTACCTTGTAGGACCGAGATTGAATGGTATCCTGGGAAAAGCTTGACACAGAAGCTTCTCAAGAAGAAGCCAAGAAAGGGGTCAAAGAATGCGAAGCCCATGACCAAGACTGAAGATTGTCCAAGCTTCTTCAACTTCTTTAGCCCTCCTCAGGTCCCTGATGACGATGATGATATTGATGATGATACTGTAAGTTTGGTTTCATTCATGATATCGAGGCTATTGAACATGGTTAATGATGATATAAGCAAGTTATTTTAAGCTCTGATGTTTACACTTTATGGTGACAGGCTGAAGAACTCCAAAGTCAGATGGAGCAGGATTATGATATTGGGTACGTTAATGATATTTTTTCTTCTTTAATGCATACTGTATAGTTTCTCTGACATTTGGCAAGGCAGTAGATGTTGGCAAAACAATAATTTTGTATTATAGATTGGATTTGTTTTGAATTTGGTGAAGTCTGATCAGTTAGTTGGGATGAGTCTTGTAAATTAAAAATGCAGTTCAAAGAGCTGGAATTGTAACATTACAAAGAGATGGAATTTGACAGTGTACTCAGGATGCTTGAAGAAGGATCACATAACATATTGTGTACAACACATTCTACATAAACAAATTGTCATGCACAAGAACTAAATTTGGCATTGTATTGACACATCCAAGTACTCATAGTTTCTATGCATGGGAAGCTGTATGGCATCCTACCTATCTTATAGTTTGTATTGGTATTCTGTTGACATGGTACTGGTGTTATGTATAGTTCAACAATTCGAGACAAAATCATTCCTCATGCAGTATCATGGTTCACTGGAGAGGCTGTTCAAGGGGATGAGTTTGAAGATTTAGAAGATGACGATGATGATGACGTTGATGAGAATGATGATGATGATGAGGAAGAAGAGGAAGATGATGAGGACGATGATGACGATGACGATGATGAGGAAGAGGAAGATAAGGGCAGGAAAAAGGTATATATAAATAAAAATGTATAGATAGGACATAACATATACAATCTGCAGTTTTCATTCATTATGATATTAGAATGTTGTATTAAGTTTTAAGTTGTCAAGCCTGTTAATATATCCATTTTTATTGGATTTTGCAGCCATCTGCTGGATCTAAGGTGTGATGATTTAACAGTTGTATGTTCTTTTATTTTTATTTTTGTAATTTTAAGATTTTCAGCAACCCTCACTCAGGGTTAATGACTTATTACCTGAATTACCTTGTTCAATTGCAGAAAAGTGGTAGGGCACAAGGTGCGGAAGGTCAGCAAGGTGAGCGCCCTCCCGAGTGCAAGCAACAATAGTGACAGTTATGAATGGACGGGCTTGCGAGGGTGGCTTCTGCTTCTTGAGAGTTGAGTGTTTGATATTCCTTGGTATTGTTTGGGGAAAATGGGTACCCTCCTGGTGCTTTGGGTTTTATTGCTTCTGTTGGATGTTTAGGTTGGCCAGTGCTGTCTATGTCCTATGAAACCCTAAGTATATTTATTGATACATTTCTCTTTCATTGTTTGTTTATTAAATATAGCAATGCAACATGCTTTTATCATCCTGTCACACCGGTAAGCACATTTCTTACATTTCCTGACCATATTACTAATCACATCTCTCATGTGGTATGTATTTACGGCTACCCCTTTGCATCCTCGCGGATCACCGTGAAGTTGCATAAAATTCCCAGTCATATCTCAACCCTGCATCACCTCCCAGTGATCCCTAGCTCATATTTAGTACCATCTAAGCTGGCTTTCAGGACATGCTTAACATCAAACCCATTTGTCGATGTGTCAAATTGACACAGGATCAAAACCTGAAAACTCTCAGATTCCAGTGCCATTGGCCCAACGAACATAATGAATCAGAGATGGGTGTTGGCTTGCCCAAGTTTTGGATTGTTGGGCAAGTGGAGATGGATCTTGATACATTCATAACAGTTATTAAAAAGATGAGCAAAATTCATCCAAAAATCATAGCAAGACCACAAAATAACTGACCATTGGGATCTGTGCACACCCATTTGTCCCATTCATGACCACCAGGAGATTCACGTCGAACTAGAAAACCAAGAAACCAGTGACAAAACGTCAAGAGTCGATAATTAGCAACAGCAAGTTAAATCAAGATGTGTGAATTCCCAAAAAAGAAAAAAAAATTGGGTGTAGATATACCATTGATCCAATTCTTGGGGAGGTTGGGATGAGACTTAAAGCTCAACAGCATCTTGTTCTTATGGTGCTTTTGGAGAGAAACTTCCCTGCCCCGGTGCTAATGTCCCTTTCTTCTTATCTCTCTCTTCATCATTTAACAAAGAAAAAGAGATATTAGCTCCGAGGTAGGGAAGGATTTTACGTGGTTTTGAGGAACATTGAGAAACCAAAGGATAGTGTGGTTTTATTTGGGGACATATATAAGAGAAACCAAGCTGTGGCTGGTCTAGCTAATGGAGACTAAGTGAGAGGATAAAAGTTACAGCATGTAGATTGTGATTGTTCTTAACCCAAGGAAAATATAAACAACAACAAAGAAGAGGGAAGCTGTGATTATTCTGTTTAAAATTTTCAGTTCAATCAACTACAAAGAAGAGGGAAAGGCCACCACAAACTGGCTCTTTGTGGCTCTTGATGATCATATATACTTAAGCACTTTTAAGAAGAGTACTTCTAAAGAAGAAGAAAAACTATCCAATTGTTGAGCTCCATTTACAGTGTGATCTAATAGTATGAACTGTCAATTTATAGATCATCTCTTGTTTAAAAAATTTAAAAAAATTCAAATCAGAATAATTTAGAGATTTTTATTCAAAAACCCATTTTAGCATGACATATTATATACCAAAACTCATATAAAGCTTATTTGGAGAGAAAAACCCAACACTAGCCACTTGCCATTTTCTACTTGGTTTTTCTTCATTTGTTAAAATTTTATAATAATTAATTAGAAAATGACAAGTGGCTAGTTTTGAGTTTTTCTCTCTCCGAACAGGCTTTATAAGGATTTTTGTATAATATATCAGGTTGGAATGAGACGCCCAATAATTTAACCAAGAGTGCTGCTATATACTATAATTCTTATTATCTTCTAGGTTGTAGTAAACAATTGAAAGCTAGTGGGAAACTTGCAGCAATCTCGATTGAACAAGTAGCTTTATATAATAATTAAGCAGAACCAAATAGTTTTAATAGTTATTAATCTCAATTATGCGGAACCAAGATCATAAGAATGAATAATATTTCCAAGCTTTTCTTCTCCTTCTTCCAAGAGTCCTCTCCACTAGTCATAATATATATATAATTCAATTGATTTTTGCTGTTTTCAAGCTCCATGCACTTCCTGTGATTTTTACATCCTCGGTTCCATAATTGAAGGCATACAAGTGGGCATCAACATCAATGGCCAATGTGGGATAAACTCTAGCTGTGATGCACGCCTTCCCTTGTCCGGCAAGGCTCTCCACTATGGAGTGATCTATCTGCAGAAGATGCAAAAATTTCAAATGCATTAGGACAAAATTTTATTATCCTGAAATGGGTAAAAGAAAAAGGATGAGCTGAAAAAGTATAGGCATGCACATTGCTGAGTAGGAACCATGGCATAAAGTTGGTTTGGTGGTATATGGAATGAAGAGTGTTCGCATATATAAGAGTGCGATTTCTAACCGTAGGTTCACGTGAGTCTCACAATGAGATTCACATGCATCAATAATCATAATATAAGTTAATTACGCATTCACGAATGACGCAACTGATCGTAGCATTTCTCTATGAGAAATATTAAACTATTTTGATTAATGGAAAAGAATCTAGTCTAAGGTGGTCCTAGCACTTAAATGGTGCAATAGGCATCTTTTTAAAGCCCAAACACATCATTTAGTGTCAAAATCCTAACTATGTTAGAAGTTGCTTTGTGTACTTTTAGAGTTGTGCTTTCTATTTAATTTCATCCCTATTTGATTTGAAAATCAAACATATATAATATGGTCAATGTGAAAGTGCGAAGATGGGGTCAGTTTGCGTGTGAATGTTTCAAGGAAAATAAATACAGACAAATTCTCAAGGTTTGATGGAAATTTCTGGTGGGCAAGACTTTGTAAACTCAAAAGAACTTTCCCATGAATCCAATGTGTGGAGCACCTCATGATGATCATATAGAAACACTGACTTTTCAACAAAGAAAAATAGCATAAATTGATAAAATCCCTATTTGATTGGTTCACAGCAACTTACCAAGCTTCTTAGTGACAGCTTCTCATGAAGAGGATCCACCTTTATAAAAGCCCCATAAGTGGTCTTATCGTTATCCTGATTTAAGGAAGACCTACCAACCAAACAATAAAACAAACATAAAAAAAAGAGTTTACAATTTGAAGTTTTGTGTGTGTGTGAGAGAGAGAGAGAGAGAGAGAGAGACCTGCTTTGGTCACTGCAGAGGAGCACCACATATTTGTTGTTGTGACCTTTAAATATTCTGTAGAATACTGCTGTGTATTCTTTCAAGCCCTTTGAAGCCAAAACTAGTAACCCAAATGGCCCTAAACCTCCTTTAACCGATGCACCCTTTTGGCTACATAAAAGTTGCGGGTCTGTCCAACTTGGGTCTAGAACTTCTGCTTTCTTAAAATCACTTATTTCAAAAGTAACATCTACATCTGCCTGTAAAACAAAATCAAATAATACCAAATTTATTTTTTAAAGTGCTTTTTAAATATAAAACGCGGCAAAGTGACATTACAAAATCTATATAAAAAATTGAAAGGAAAAAGTACCCACCTGTGCTGCTGTGACACCAAGTACTTCATGCACTGATCCTCCCTTAAGCACACTGCTTGGCAACTTGACCTCCTTTTCACGCAGCTTTTCTATTTCAGCTACTGGCCATTGTACCAATTGTTTTCCAGATTTATCAAGCCAGATTTTCCTTGGAAATGCCTGCAAAAGTCAATGCAAATAATGCGTAGCTTAGTTCACAAGTTCACAAGCCAGCTAATTGAAGACTATTCAAATAGGCATTGATTGTGATGACCCAAGTGGGTAGTTGGTAGGTCCAAGTCCCTTGACCAATTTATAAGTGTTAGAGATCACACAACTTCATCAAAACAGTTATGCTTGTAGCGAGTAATGTTCTCTTGTCAGACTTATGTTACGTGCAGAAAAGAGTTAATTCAGATTCACAACTTCTTTTCATGCATATATCTATTTGTTTAATTTATACCTGAATTCCAGACCATCCCTTCTTGGTATCATCCTCCACACTTGAAGATTCATTAATCCAACCCAACAATATCCTACGGTTCATAGAACTGTCGAAGAAAGTTTTTGAAGCATAAAATTTCCCATAATCATATCTCAAGCCTGCGTCACTCTCCACTGAGCCCTTATCCGGGATATAGATATCCTTGTGAATGTTATATGTCCCAATTGTATAGTACTCTCGCTTAGTGTTGTCCAAGCTAACCTTGAGCACATGCTTCACATCAGGACCATTTTCTGATGTGTGAAGACCATTTTGCCCCTTAATTGAGACTGGGTAAAAATCTGGACACTCCCACATTCCAGTTTTCTTTGCTGAGTGAAGTGGGTGTTTGGCCTTAACCCAGTTAAGGAAATCTTTGCTCCTGTACAGGATAGCAAACCCCCTTTGGTTCCTCTTGCTTCCAACGATGACCCTCCATATCATATCTGGTCCTAGCCAAGCAGTGGTTGGGTCTCTAAATGAGCTTGCATTGATTTGGTTGGCTTGGGTGGGTGCCATTAGTGGATTTTGGGGGACCTTGGCCCACTCCCTAAGGTATGGGTCTGAGAGGTTCTTGGGGTAGGCCAGGTTTTGGACTTGTTGGTTTTGGGGGTTTATTCCGGTGTATAAAATGACCGGTTTGCCCCCGGGGAGGATCGTGGCGGATCCCGACCAGCAGCCGTTGATATCCGACGGCTGCGACGGGTAGATGGCGGCATCATGAGGGGTCCAGTTAACAAGATCAGTTGATGTCGAGTGGGCCCACACAATGTTCCCCCAAACTACACCTTTGGGGTTGTATTGATAGAATAGATGGTAAATTCCCTTGTAAATCATTGGCCCTGAAAAAAGAGTAACACACAACAAGGCATTAGCACATTGAAATTAGAGAGTGCCCAAAAAGCCCAAACCAAAATAGGAATATAGAAAGTGTGACTGAAAATAGAAAGAGCAAGAATATAAAGCCACCAACCTTGACTGGTTGACTTGCTATGATATTCATTCAAATCAAATGCATCACATATATAGTTTCATAGAAAATGAACCAAACCCAGAAAATGTAAGAGAGAGAGAGAGAGAGAGAGAGAGAAACAAGCTAACCATTAGGATCTGAGAGCAACCAAACAAGTCCATTTGTCCATTCCACAATCAGAACAAGTAAAATGTCAAAAACAAGAAGCAAAAAAACAAATGTTAGAGCTATAAACAATATAGACAAAGACAGGTGAAGGAACAAAAATGGAAAATGAAAAAAAAAAAAACGAAAAATGAAGAGAATTTTTGTAGGTGAAGATATATATACCATT